CGTCCAGGAGCGTACACATAGATGGCGCACTCTATCCAGATCGTTCTCTGTCATTCTATTTTCTCATAGATCTACCCTGCTCTCTCTATCTATTTACACTTTTTTTGAGATCTTGTTCTCCTCAGTTGAGATCACTATTTTCACTTTTTACTCCGTGGGAAGGGGTGTAGTGCTTTCTATATTTCAAGCAAGGGTAGTACGTATGCACGCCCACGCGCCAATTTATTTCAAGGTTGTATTATATATAACTTCTCGATGGTACTATTGAAATGGGGTTCGGCTTCGAGGCCCTTCTTTTCTGTGACCCTGGGTTGAGTGTCACCTCCCCGATAGTAGCCCTTTCGGGGCATGTCCTGCAGCGAGCGGCGGGGTACTACGCATCCCGCCAAATAGGATTACGTATATTTACGAACTGACTTAGGCTCATTGCACTCTTCAAGGGCTGTCAAACTAATTGATATGAGCTAGAAGAAGGAGAAGTGGTTCCGCTGAAGTCAGCTGCAGTTGGTACAACAGCATGAGGCCTGGGCCAGTATAAAAACAACTTCTAGTCGTGGTCTTAAACAATTACAGTGGCACTGCTTCTCTCCATTAGCTTTTATGAACAAGTTTTCGGTACAAATCGCATCTATTCTAGTGAGCCAGGTGTTGGGGGGGCTCATTATATGCAGTATCCATAACCTAGCCGAAGAGTCGTCCTCTATAGTATGCCATGAGTTTTCTTTTTCCTAATCTGATAATGCTCCTTCAGATCTACAACTACGGACTGGTCGTCTCGTCTGATTCACTACGGTCCGGACTAGGCTGTCATACCACGACACGTGGACAAACCTGGCATACCCAAAAATGGAGCCGCTTTCGACCGTTACCCAGGACAACATGTTGACGGACATCAAGAAGGGTATCGTGGACACGGGAAAGTCCAAGGAAGGCGCCGTGGATTGTTCCACCAAAACGCGTGATCTAGAGGGGGAAGGGCGTCATGGGGATGGACAGGGGCACGATATGAATGGTCAGGGGCACGGTGGGGATGGTACGAAACACCGCCATGTGGCTGGTACGAAAAGCCGCGATGTGGATGGTACAAAAAGCCGGGATCTGATTGTGGATGGCCAGGACTACCCTAACGATGATGCCCTGGATGGCCAGGGGAGCAGCTTAATCACGTGTCACGACTCGTACGGAGCACTGAGTTTCGGTGGTTCAGCTGCGGAGAGCGTGGCGTCAACGAAGTATGGACTCACCGAAGAACCGGAACCGGGGGCGCCCGAGCAAACGAAGCGTGTGCAAGGTGGGGCACTCAAATGGGCTTTGATGTTTGCACTGCGGTTCCTCGTCATCGTGATTCCGGTTTCTTTGTTGGCCCTCTTCTCCTTCTGGTCCATGGGGACGGTCGTTGACCGAGCTGTGGCGTTTTCTGGTCGTGTTGGAGCCTCTACGGCCACGGAGGGGAATTTTCGTGGTGGGATGGAAATTGTGGGAGGGGGAAGTACTGGGGGCAACAGCGTGCTTCAAATGAAACAAGAGGTAGGTCACCAAGATAGGGCTGCACCAAAATCAATATTGAAGCAAGTAGGCAGCACCAGCAGCCAGGATGGCAGCAGCCAAAAGAAGTTAGTTGGATTTAGTCATCAAGAGATCTTCGAGTTCGATGTGCCGCAACTGGAGATTGACACCACTGAAAGTGAGATTTATGAAAGAAAATGAAACTGACCAAAGATTCAAGCGATAGCACAAAAACTAGCACATCAATGACGCTGAAGACAGCTTTTTTTACCGCCTGTTTGCACTAGATTCGCTAGCTTTGCGATGCACGTGCACTAGTGTCGACGCGACATCACATGTTACAGGGTAGGATCTTCGCTAACTTAGCTTTGTGCCATTTGAGGGAGAGTTCTAATTTACAACAGGCCCCCCGCGCTTGTGAAAAGGTCCTTAAATCGTTATATTTCTGCTTACTTGTAAATCGCGTGTAAAGGGAAGTCAAAACTACATGAGGGCGTCCAAATTGAGGGTAGCCCTTTAGTTACATTCACCCCTCGAGGCTACCGCCAAATGGTTGCATAGGGCGATCGAGCCACCAAAAGAGGGCTGGCATCGCGTCCACAAGTGCACAACTGGACATGAAAAATATGCACGCCCGAGCCTGGTCAAACCCTCGGCTCGGTGCAACTCGGCGTCTTTCGCTATCAGCTACGCCAGCTTGCTCGGTCACGCTATCCCGCTCGGCCAAGCTGTCCTAGCTGAGTAAGCTTGCTGGCGAACGCGAATTTCGCCAGCTAGGCTTGCTCGTTGGCTTTCGGTCGAGGCGGCTGGCTAAGCGCGGGCTAGGCCAACTGCCTGCGGAGCTCTCTTCAAGCTAGAAGGAAGCTTGGCGAATGCTCGCCTTTAGACGGTCTACAGATGTTTGCTGGTCATGCTCATGCTGATTCTCTCGAGAGGACTTCTAATTACGTATGCCAGTCTACTTAGGGTTAGTGGCACAACGAACTCGTATGCTAAGCTTTCTATTTGCCGCTACCAATCTAATAAGCGGACAAGGAGGAGACGGAGAGGCAGATGACTGCGAGCGACCGCCAGGTTGAAGAGCGCGAAGGGTGGTGGGGGCGTCTTCTTAAAGGCAGACGGCGAGCCCACTTCGGAGAGTATCAGGACTGGACGGAGGCAGACTGGGTTAAGTTTGGCGCAGAGGAAAAAAGTCCCAAAATCGTGGGCGTTCTCGCGGGGGATGACGGTCTAGCTCTAGCGCCGTACATTTTCGGGGGAATAGGTGACGTTTATGCGGCCCTGTGCGAAGAGTTGCGGGCAAGGGTACAAAAGGAGGCTGAAATGGAACGGGCAAGGGCACAAAAGGAGGCTGAAATGGAACGGGCAAGGGCACAAGAGGACGAGGCTGAAATGGAACGGGCAAGGGCACAAGAGGGGGCTGAAATGAAGGACAAGAACAGCTCGCCGGGAAGCTCGGCGAGGGCACAAAAGACAAGAACAGCTTGGCTATGGCACAAAGGAAATGGACAAGAACAGCTCCCCGGAAAGAATGCAAAGGCGCTGCTCCGCGAATTGGGGAATTTGGGTCAAAAAGTTGAGAAAATCCTGAAAGCTTTGCCAGAGAAATTTGCCACACTAGAAGGCCTGTCGAATGCGATAGCAGCAGGCCAAAGTATGAGTCCAACAGAGAATCCAGCCGCGAGAGCGAGTGCAGGAAAAGTGCAGGACATTGACTGGGCCTTGATAGACGTCATCAAGGGGCATTTGACTGCATTATCGGTTTTAATTCCTAAGGAGCGGAGCAACAGGAGCATCAAGGCCAGTAAGTTTTTCACGACACTCCTCCAACCGAGCAGCTTTTTTCTTCCCTTGTTGAAAAGGAATCCGGAATTCGTGGCGCAGTTGTTGCAGTGGAACCCCAACGTCTGGGGCTGGCTAACTCGCGAGGACAAGATGAAAGTAGGCCTAGATGCTAAAAAGGTCGTCCTCGTCCTCGGCGCGTTGGGCACGGAAAAGCGGCGCGACGCTTGGCCGATGCTAAACGATGTCGAACTGATGAAAGCGGCCGCGGAAATCGTCCCAGACTTTGTGGTGGATGACGTGCTGCCCATGCAGGAGGTTGTCGAGGTCATGGAGCCCACCAGCGCCAGCACGGGGAAGCCGGGTGAAGAATGTGCAACAGAGAAGCATGAAAACCCCGTGTGGCAAATGAAACATGTGTTTTTGGCCGTGGTCGAGAAGCGGCCAGATGCTATCAAATACTACAAGAGGAAGACTACGAGAGGCAGCAACCGCGGTGAGGGTTCCTTTTTCGAAAAGATTCTGCAGAGAAATCCTGTCGCTACCTTGTATCTCAGTAACGAGGAGTATCGGGATGTAGCGTTCCAGCGTGTACTGGAACGGCCTGAACTTGCTCAGAAAGTACGGAAGGCAGTCGCCGAAACGAGGGCGCTGAGGGAGACGCAGATGGAGGAGACCATGGCAAGGACAGAAAATGAGTTCGAGAAACTCAATGGGGTCCAGATGAGGAAGATGAAGGACGGTGAGGACAGCCAGCGCTATGCAAAGCTGAAAGAGCGATTTGAAGGCGCCCAACGAAAGCGGCTTGAAGCGCTCGCAGCGAAGTTTCTCCAGCAAGAAAAGGAGGCGACTCAAGTGAAGCTGCGAAGCGCTGATCTGCTCCCCGAAGCGCCGGCCGTGCCGGAAAGGCAGTCATTCTAGAAAAGTGATAAAAGCCTGCGCCCAAGTTCATGGGTGACGGGTGAGCGCTTCTTTCTAAGCGTGTCCTCTGTTGGATGCGCGATGGAAAGCTAGCCCTTGACAATTTAGAAAAGTGATGAACGCCTGCGCTTAATTTGTTTCACGGGTGGTGGGTGACCGCTTCTTTCTGAGCGTGTCCTCTCTTGGATGCGTGAAGGAAAGCTAGCCCCTGAGAATCTAGATAAGGGATGAACGCCTGCGCCTAAAAACATGGGTGGTGGATAGGCGCTTCTTTCCAAGCGTGTCCTCTGTTGGATGCGTGATGGAGAGCTAGCCCTTGACAGTCTAGGAAAGTGATGAACGCCTGCGCTTAATTTGTTTCACGGGTGGTGGGTGGGCGCTTCTTTCTGAGCGTGTCCTCTCTTGGATGCGTGAAGGAAAGCTAGCCCCTGACAATCTAGATAAGGGATGAACGCCTACGCCTGAAAACATGGGTGGTGGATAGGCGCTTCTTTCTAAGCGTGTCCTCTGTTGGATGCGCGATGGCAAGCTAGCCCTTGACAATCTAGAAAACTGATGAACGCCTGCGCCGAAATACTTAACAGATACATGGATGGCGGGTG